TCCGATATCCGCCACGACCCTTCTGTCTGTGGCGTCTTGGAGTATATATGCAAAATACAAATTCACAAAGTTTAAGTTTACAAACCATAAATCCAAAAAAAAAACACAATAAAAATCACAGTTTAATTAAATTATTATTATTATTTTTTTTTTGGTGAGAATTAAATTAAAATTACAATAATTCATGTAATCATTAATTAGTACTTTGTAATTTTTTGGAAAATGCTATACATAGCCCTTAGGACTACATATAGGGCTACATATAAGCATTAAATTTACATTTGAAAATTGTAAAAAATTAAGAAATCATCAAAATATAAACACAATTACACTGATTTATGCGTGTTTTTGTCATGAATTTCTAATTTTTATACAATTGCTAAGAGTGTATTTAATGCTTATATATAGGCAATATAACTTTTAGGGCTACATATAGCATTACCCTAATTTTTTATATCATTTTTTTTTTTTCCCGTTTGGATCATAAGAGCTTAGCTCTAAATATATCTGGTTTTGACCTGGGTTGCACACCTGACTTATGATGAGTGAGCTCGAACTTAAGACTTCCCTTAAACGACATCAAACTGCTTACCACTTGAGCCACCTTTTATTGATTTTTGATATTAGATATGACATGTGGGCTTGTTGATTTTGGAGCCCAGATACAGTAAAAACCGAGTTACTAACAACAAATATCCCCTTTATTACTTCCATTCTTAAAAAAAAAAAAAAAAAAAAACTATTTCCCTACCAAAATCAGAAAGAAAGTAGTCAAGTACATCCCTTATCATATTCCTAAACTAAAAAGTTTTTTTTTTAAAAAAAAATACCTTTTTTAAAAAAAAAAAAAACTGTAAAAACAAATCCTAGATATTTTGACCCTCTTTTTATATTGAGTAGGATTTTCTCTTTCTCCTAAAATTATACGGAACAAACACACTATATAAATATAAATATAAATATAAATATAAACCTTTTCTGAAGCTCAACCCTCCTCTTCCTCCCAAGTCCCAAGTTTCCCTGTTCCTCGTAAAATCATAACCCAATTGCTATATATGGCTCTGATGAACGATCAACTGGAGAGTTTTTTTTGGCTGTGCATGTTCCTTACCATGGACAAATTTATTACCGGTATGATTTCATGGTCTGGATTCGGACCTGATAAAGCAGCAGATTGGGGCGTTACATTATTCGGTCTTTTTCTTTACGTGTTTTTGTCTACTATTTCCTTAACCATCATCACTAAATTGACAGGACATAGATATTATACTTTTTTCTAGTACGTATAATAGCATCATTGTTAGCTATAGCTATGTTGGGTTCCTTTTTCCTTTATATTTTCAAGTGTAATTTGAATGCCGTTGTTTTTAACAAGTTGTTTAATCAACTTTGTCTTTATTTATTTATTTATTTATGAATTATGATTAATGTTTCATCCTGAATTATGAACTTTTTAGCTAGTCTAAGATTCAAGAATCAAGGCTGATTGTACGTAATTTTTTGTATTGTATTGAATATCTGACGGCAACCTGCCCTTTTACGCTACATACAAGCTCATATTTGCCCTATTACAGTAGGTTTCATGAACTAACTTGAAAGAAAATTCCAGAGGAGATTACCAGCACACCACATATTTTGTCTGATAGTTACATTCATTACTTCTTCTTAGCTGCTAATGTTATTTCCTAGCTACGAGTACATCTTAAAACTTGAATTCCATAATGTAAGTGATGAAGGGGAATGATTGAATGAATGGGAGGGGGGGGGGGGAAGTGGAGTTAAGTGGGTCACGTCACGTGAGGTGCACATGTTAGTCAATGCCGGAAATTTAAGTAATAAGTCAGAACTCGGGAAAATGGTGTGACTTAACAAAAAATAATTTAAAACAGGTGTACCATGACAAAAAATAGATTTTTTTTAAAAAAAAAAAAATTAAATAAAGATTACAACAAGTGTGATTTAACAGAAAAAAAAATAAATAAAAAAAAAAAAAATATATATATATATATATATATATATATATATATATATATATATATATATATATAAAAGATGGTTTTCAACAAATTTTCCTTTTTATAATATTTCAACAACCTTAAACCATTAAAATCCTTGCACTACTTTGGATCTAGGTAAATTATTTTTAACTTGTCTTTTAAATCGAGTGCTACCTCCATCTCCGAGAGCCGCCTGAATGTCATCCGCATCAGAGGCAGCCTCTGACATTATAGTTTCCCGTGGACGAAAGCATTGATAGGGATGTCCTTATTAAACGAGATCATAAGATATACTCAAATGTAAAATAGAGTTCTAAGCTTTATTAATTTATTGCGAATTTTATGAAATTTTTTATGTACAATACTAGGCCCACCACGCACCCAAGGATATTTCTAGTGATAGGTCTAGCCACCTAAAAAACGTTACTAAAGAAACATGTCACAACTAAAAAGATACGGAAGTATAGTTTTCTTACATTAAAAAGAGTATACATGTAATATCATATTACATGTCATGTTCTTCATTTGAATGCAACATATACTAGCTTGAGTTGGAGATGCCTTGAGGTTAGTATGATTAATATGGTTACACGGAGTACTTTGTTTGTTAATCAACTCACCCCAAAGGCCCTAAGTTAACGTGAAGTATATCTAATTTCAGAATAGTCGTCAAGCAACACTCAATATTCAGCTATTGTGCTGGTTCAATCACTTGAATCCAATGATACAATGAACGTCCAATCAGCTCTAAACATTGTTACATTGCCGCATGCATCAGCACGGGAAAATAATTTACATGACTGCTTTAAGCTAAGGTGAACAGCCTAGAGACCAATCTTTCTGAGCTCCACTAAGCATAATCTTTGTTTCATTCAACACAAGTACACAACTCATTATAATCTCAATCAAAACCTACATGTTCCATTTTCCAAGTATTCTAGAAACTAATAATAGACGGGTCGTATGCTGACACAATATTTAGGGCATTCTACACTGATATTCTAGCCCTCTGAGTCCCAAGGGCATTGCAGTCAGCAAGCTCTACTCATTACTTCAATGTTTAATAAATTTGCAAACCTAAAAAGGAAAAGGTAGATTACCTTGCTTGAGTGCAACACTACCGACTACCAAGTCATATACTCATATCCCACATACTAAAAGTTCTAAGTTTAAAAGTTGAGAAACTAATTCAAACTTCCTAACATCAACATCAACCTAGAATTGATGACATACATTCCTAAAAAATTAGAGATGCCTTCCATAACCACCTTATAGACTCAATATATTGAAAAGCTCATAGCTCATAGCCCCACTAAAGCGATAGAAATCTACCTAGGCAGGCCTCTTTAAGAAGTGAGGTGCTGACAGAAGTGCACCTTGGATGCACAACATGCACCTCTTAATTTTTTTTTTTTTACACTGATTAGACCATAAGTATCACCAAGGGAAAAAAACCTGACAGAAATCCTAAACAAACAACCAACATTAACCAGACACCACACTTTCTCTGAACACCGCTTGGGAAAAAAACAAATACAGATAACTCCCTATCTAACCTCTAGTCCATTGTCATCACCACACACAAATTTTGTTCCTAATGAACATTTACAAATAATTTTATAAGCATAAATGATCACTTTCAATTTCTCAAAGACATTACATATATAACTTGGTCCTTATAGAAGAAAAAAAACAGAAAAGAAAAAAGAAAAGTAGGTCCTGAAGTTATGGTGATAACATGTGTATGGTTTGACCGAAAAGCTTAAAATGCTAAACAAGTGAACGGTTGAAACCATTGGCCTATGTGGCCTATATCTCCACCTAGCCAGAAACCAATTCAAATTATATAGCACTTCTCTTAACTAAATTCCTGCCTGGGGTCAGGGTATTGTCAAAGTCCATGCTTCCAGATCAGTATAATCAGCCATTTGAAAATATCATCAGATGAATTTGTATATGCATGCTTTTTATTGAACATTGCTGAAATAAGCATTTTCAAATATATATGCATAAAACCTTCTGGCTTACGGTACAACCATCCTAGTATTCCTTCAACATGAACAAATATACTTCATCCTCCATATATATTCAAATTTAGCAGTAATATTGACATGTCATGTCAGACAACCTTTTTCTTTCATACTAGACTCGTATCAGCTAAATCTGTTTCGGTACTATAGGCATCCTTAGGTAAAGTTAATGAAGCTTTCTACACTCATCTTCCAACTCCCTTAAGTCTTAGCAGAAAAGCTCCATTACACATTCACTAATCTTACCAGCTCACTGACGAGGGGAAAAGAATGGTGACCTCTTATGTGATGCAGAGTAAACCAAGTGTAGATCATGGGTGTAAACACTAAAACTCACAATATGAAAAACTGAGCAATCAACACGGTTCACTAATCTTACCAGCTCACTGATGAGGGGAAAAGAATGGTGAGTTCTTACGTGATACAGAGTAAATAAAGGGTAGATCATGGGTGAAAATACTGAAACTCTCGATATGAAGAACTGAGCAATCAAGTACCTTAAACAACTCAAACTAACTCAGTGACATACACAAAACTTTAATATATCCTTGGCCACAATTAATACTACAAACATAAACAAGAACAATTGCACCTTAAGCAAGCCCGGAAGGATACAAGAGCCAATCAACAATAAAATAAATACCATAATGCCTCTAAAGATCACTAGAAAAAAGGTTCACATAACTTCCTAACCGGTTGAAACTCATAATCCAATGCCATCTCCAAGTTCAAAGACACTACCTACATTCAAAGATTTCGGACATACACTTAAAGCTAACTTGAAATTCCCTATAATATCCAAGCCGCCAATACCCATACCCGCATAACAGATTTTTCATAGTGCTATCTTCATCACGAGAATACAATGTAATTTAGCAATTAAACAACCAAGGAGCATATTTCACTCAACCTTCAACAACCAAACCATCAAATACTCGATTCAATCCACGACAAACCTAAGCAATAACCAAAATTTCCCAATAAACCCATTTATAACATAACACTAAAATTTCCATATGGTAAGTTGTTAGCTCATATAACCAAAATCAATTCCTGCCATCTTAAACAATCATATAAAACTCCACTAAAACAATAAACAACGTGATCACAACAACATAATCAAACGATTAATGGGCAGAAACTTATAACCTATAAATTCAATTTATTTCCATCAAATTCCTCTACTTTTGCTTGTTGTTCTTCTTCTTGTTTGCAGAACTCACAGCTGGTTGAGGCTTCGGGTGTTTATCGGCTTCGGTCGGGTCAAGCCAATTGAGAGGATGACGATTAAACCATGGCCAATTTGGGACGATGATCAGAGCAGTCAAAACGACGCCGCCTGCATAGATTAGCACCATCAATTGGAATGAACCCATCAAATAACCTGTTACAAATGCAATTGCTGCTGAAACTAGCAGAAGAATTTGCATCCATTGTTCAGCCACTTTCTGCCCTTGCCAATCCATTGTTCGCAATCAAAACCCTAACAAAATTAAACGAGATAGTTGAAGTTTTGTTCAATTGAAATCCCTAATTTTCGAGATCTGAAGCAAAAGAAGATCGAAAATTAATTATTGGGGAAAAAATTATGAATTATGAATTCTGAATGAGAATGTTACCTGAGATTGAAATCGGCGACGATATAATTTCCCGGTGAGTTGCGTAAAATTTGGAGTGATTTTGGAGAAGAGGATTGATTTATATGAGTTTTTATGCCAATGCGGCTTAGTTTGACTTGTATGAAAGAAAGTCAATAGGAAGTACTCGTAGGAACTAATGTACACGTCATCAACGAGAAAATACAAATCAACTTAACCATTCATCATGCCTAGAGCTGTAAAAACCACACGATTCAAAAACAATATGAAAAATTATTGGATTTTGATTTCGATTTGCATGTATATGATAAATTATCATGACTCCAGTTTAAAGATAGACCTGATCCGACCTGCAGACTCGAATTAACACCTCTAGTTATGCCACATCATCTACTCAACTTCTTTGTGCCATGTAGACCCCCTTAATTTACGTCATTATAATCTATTCAACCTCTTATTATGCCAATCACCTCTCATTCAACCAACAACTAGTGTGTGGCTCGGGCGATGCCCCGAGTTGCTAATTTGTACTTGTTTGATTTGCTAATCAAATTCGACTGTTTAAATAGTAAGACTTGTTGGTTTCGAGTTTAAGTCTTGCTATACACAATTTTTAGTTGTCAAACTCAATCATTACATAATGGAAACAAATTGTATAATAAGGCACAAATTAACTTATCTAAGTTAGCTATAGTTTTGTTGGATAAAAACATACAATTAATAAAATGACTTAGATGGTAAAATTTTAATTTTAAGACTTGTTGGTCTTGAGTTCAATTCTTGTTATAAGCATGTGAAAATGACATGTCATGTTTATAATGACATGTGGCGCATATTACTGACATGTCGAACTTAAAAAAGGTCATAGTGAAACATATTTTGTTTTGGGAAGTATACAATTGCAAATCACGAGGTTTAATTAAAAAAAATTATTAGTATATATAATGACAAGGTTTAATTAAAGTATTGACCCAACGGGCCACATACTAATTTGTAATTAAATAATGTAATAGTGAAAGAATCATCAATACTTTAGGTGATAGTGATGTCCATAAATCCATTTACTCCTAGTATAGGTGAATAATGATAAAGTAAAATCATTTTTGTTGGAAAACAATTCAATTAAATAATTATTGTTGCTAATAGCATGTTTAGAAAGTTAGGAATAACTATTGTAAATAAGCGCTTATTTAGCAAGTTAGGAAGGGTAACACTTACCATTATTTAGGAGTAATAGATATCACAAAGTGTTGGTGATTCTTTACACGGGTTAAACTAAACAATTTAAAAGGTAAGAGCTTAATAGTTCATTTCCCCCTTATTTTTTCCTTTTCATTTCCAATATGCTCAATATGATGAACTCATAATTTGTGCTTCTACTTGCTCCTCAAATTGAAGAGAATGCTATAAAGGACATGCGAAATACTACTGTCAAACAATCTCATCGAATATTTTTCTCATGATTGCAAACAAAAGAGGTCTTCCACGACCGCTTGAGCTATCCCAACAAGGAAGTGCTAAGAGTTCAACACTGCTAGGATTATCGTTCATTCTATACTGTGTATTTATGGAGAAATTCTATTTCGATAAGCAAGCATAAACTATTAAAGCAGAAGAAAATGGCAGCATATATAGCACTGCATTAAAAGAGCTAACAAAAATAGCAGGGTTACTTTCCTCGAAAAAAACTAGATATTCTCCGCTCTCCATGGACAATGTGCTATTGAACAAGTAAATCTAGATGAAATCTTGTCTACAAAACCAAGATGACAAAATATAAGAAACCCCAAAATTTGTTTCAAGGCTACACCGATAATATGCTTAAAACACTTGAGAGGCTTGTTAGTCTTCTATTTGCTGGTAGCCAACTGGGACTCGGGCTGCAAAATAAACATTCAAGTAAGAAAACTAAAGAGAGAATTCATAAACATGAGCATTGCAGGAACAAAGAAAATAGCAAACTACCTCCTTCCTCACTGCCTCTTCCTTCTCAGACAAAGTCAACTCTATGTGGCATGGATGAGACATGTAGGCTGTAAAAGAAATTAAAGTTGAGAATTTGCACAATCAATGTAAATAAATCACCCAACACAGTAACAGCAATACATACGGTTGATACGCCCATGAGCACGGTAAGTACGACGCCTTTGTTTCTGGGCCTGGTTAACTTGGATATGAGAGATGTAGAGAGAATCCACATCCAAACCCTTCATCTGCAAATGGATAAAAAAGTTAGGACAATTAAAAGATTTTCATCAATGTAAACTCTATCAACTAGAAAGTATAGTTCAGCTCAGAAATGACATGCCTCAGCATTGCTTTCAGCATTCTTCAGCAAGTCGAGAACAAATTTGGCTGACTTAACAGGCCAGCGACCTTGACCGTTGGAGTGCCTATTTTTTGCTTGAGCAGTCCTGCCAACACCTCTGCAGAAGCGACGGAAAGGAATAGCCTGCTTGTGAGCTAAGACATCCTCCAGATACCTTTTAGCCTTGTTCAAAGGCATCTTTCTAAGAGCAAAGGCAGTCTCCCTAGTGTTCTGCAATAAACAAGCAGAAAAAACTCATTAGTTTGTATGCAAACAAAATAAATTCACATAAAGCAGCAGGATCTCAATCCAACAGCACAAGATTTACAGCCCAAATATATACCACCAGATACAATTTATGGACAAAACAAAACATACATAAGATTTACCCCTTCATAATGTATATATAATGCATCATCCACTTAATTTGCGGCAACTAAACAAAATAATGCTGCTATTCTATCTTCTAAAATGCAACCCAACATTGCATTTTACATTTAGGTTAAACCAAACTATAACTAGGAGTAGATACAAAATAGATCATACTAGTAATAGAGCAAATCAAATTCCCAACATTCACAAAAAGAAAAAAAAAAACTTTGTAATTGTGATGTTTCACCATTTACTGAACCATAAGTCATTAACATCACAGAGGTTCACCCAATAATGATGCATTTCAATTTTCTAAACTTAACAAAAGTCCTGTTTGAAAATGCAACACAAATTTGCTTTTTTCAATAGGTCAATTCCAAGCTAGATATCCAAATTAGAAGTATTTGAGCACACTGGGAATTCCCTACAATCACAAAGACTGTATTGGAAATCCTAATGTGCTTGTCTCATCATTAACTGAACCTTCAGCCACCAAAACAACAGAGGTTCACCCAAAAACGATGGAAATAATTTTCCTGAAGTTTACGGAAGCTCTATTCTGAAATACAATAGAGCCTTGCTTTTTTCGACAGGTTTATTCCTAACTAAACAACTAAAATTGAAGTAATTAAAGCACACCAAGAATCCCCTACAGTCACAAAGACTGCATATGAACTCCCAATGTGCATGTTTAATCATTTACTGAACCTTAAGCCACTAAATAAAACAGAGGTTCACCCAATAACGATTCATTTCAATTTTCCTGAAGTTTACGGAAGCCCCATTCTGATATGCAACAGAGCCTTGCTTTTTTCATCAGGTTTGATCCTAGCTAAATAACAGAAATTAAAGTATATAAAGCACACTAAGAAATCCCTACAATCACAAAGATTGCATTTGGACTCCAAATGTGCATGTTTCATCATTTACTGAACCTTCAGCCACTACACAAAACAGAGGTTCACCCAATAACGATGCTTTTCTATATCCCTGAAGTTTACGGAAGCCCCATTTCTGAAATACAATAGAGCCTTGCTTTTTTCATCAGGTTTAACCCCAGCTAAATAATTGACATTAATCAAAGCAAAGCACACATAAACCCCAATCGTTTAAGAATTCACTTCAAATGCATACATACTATACTATCTCTAATGTCAATGTCTCATAAACTTTCAGCCACTGAACAAAAACAATATTAACCCAATAAGAATGAATTTCTATTTCCTTGCATATTATCGTTGAAGCTCCCAAGTATTCGAAAGTACCAAAATATAACACCACCTTGCATATTATCATCGCTCCTAATGCACACTACCTTTGATACAAAATTTAAACCTTAAAATAAATCAAAAAATAATTCCACTTATTATAAAAACACAGTTGCTTCCTTCAAAAACCCAAAATCAGTTGCAATCTCCAACAAGACTCGCATGCCCTACACTACCTAGGAAGCTTGATAATACCAATTAGCTTCCTAACTAGACTAACACATTTTAATCAATTATGAAAACAGGTAGTATTGTACACATAATTTACTCCGAATATTCGAATACTACTTACGACTAAAGTCGAGACTTTCACATTACCCTAGCCTTCAAATTCCAATTTATTTCAGACATATTAAAATTAACACACAAACAAGTAAAATGGCTTATTCTATAAACAAGTGTAACAAGCAAATCTTTCTAACTAAGACCCATTAATCTCACACAAAAACTGAGTTAATTACAATGAAAATAAGCAAAAATGTAGCATCGTTTACTGAACCTGCTATCATAGAAAAAACTCCAGTGGTTCACCCAAGAACAATGCACACTTAATTTCCCTGAAGTTTACGAGAGACCCATTCACAATATTGGCAATAGGACCTTGCTTTTATCATCAGGTTTTTCATTTTTTTTATATATTTTTAAAATTACATCAAAATAAACATACTTAAATCACACAACAAACTAATTAGCAAACAAATTAAAAAGACTAATAAAATGCAACAAGTTTAAAGTAGGGAATTAGTGAAATTACCTTGAAATGGCATCTGAGATCTGAACCCCTAGCCTTGCAAGCTGCATAAACAAACAACGATTTGAATATAAAAAAAATTAGCAAAAAATGAGAAAAAAATGCTGAAATTAATTAAGATTGTTCAAAATAACACAGAAGATAAATCAAGGAGAAAATACAAGAGATAAATCGAATAACAAAAATTGAAGAAATACATACATTTAGTGGGATTATCGGGTTCTTTGGAGTAAGGAGCCATGTCGACGGCTGGTGATGAGAGAGAAAGATGAAGGAACCACACTCAAATGACGGTGGCTCTTAAACTGCGAGAGAATTAGGGTTTTGTAGGAATTAGGGTTTTTATAAGAAGTTTTTTTTTTTTTTTTTTTTTTTTTTTTTTTTTTTTTTTGAAGCCCATTGACTGATGTGATTTTGATGTTGGGCTATTATTAATTGGCCCAATAACCAAAGGGAAAGGATTTTGTATATGGACTTTATGGTCTGAGGAAATAGGTTTTGGAGTGTAGATGGAATATTTAAATATGACTTTCGGCTATTGGCTTTTGGAATACGGTTATTTCACCAAATGCCACTGAGTAATTTAAAAATTCACCAAATGACATCGAATTTTTTAGAATTTACCAAATGCTATCTAGATTTTTAAAAATTCACTGAGTGCCATTAATGACCAACGGTCGTTAACTCCGTTAGTCATTAGGGGTTAATCATGACATATGTCATGATATGATTGGACCATTTATCTTAATTCATAAAAATTAAAAAAAAAAAAAAAATAATAATAATAATAAAAAAAAAAACCAAAATTTCCCAGTTACCTACCCACCACCGCCAAACCCTAGCCGCTCCCCTTATCTCGCAGGAAAACGGCCGGTCACCACCTTAACCACCAGCAATCGGCCGGCCGGCCATTAGGTGCCCCACCTGACCCACCGTCGACCCCCAAAACCTCCCACACAAACTGCCCCGACCCCATAAACCACCAACATCGAAATCGGTTGCCTTACGGCCTTACCTCCGTCACCAAAATCGCCAAAATCAAGCACCCTCTCCTTACCTCCGTCGCCAAAATCGCCGCTCCTTCCTTTCCCACCCTCGAAATCGGTCGTTTCGGCGGTGGGAGAAGAGGGGAGGGGCGTTTTATTGGTGGTTTTGGGGGTCGGGGCGACTGTACGTGTGGGTGGTTTTTGGGGTCGGGGCGGGCAGCGTGAGTGGTTTTAGGGGTCGGCGGTGGGTCAGGTGCGGGGCTAAAGGGTCGTCCGACCGATATTTGGTGGTTAAGGTGGTGGTCGGCCGTTTCCTGGCGAGGTAAGGGGTGGGGCTTGGGTTTGGCGGTGGTGGGGATGGCTGGGAAATTTTTGTGGTTTTTTTTTTTTAATTTTGGGTTTTTTTTTTAATTTTTAGTTTTTTTTTTAATTTTTTGTTTTTTTTTAATTTTTAAGATAAATTAACCAATTATATCATGACATGTGTCATGATTTACCCCCAAAGACTAGCGGAGTTAACGGCTTGTTGGTCATTAATGGCACTCGGTGAATTTTTAAAAAACTGGGTGACATTTGGTGAATTCTGAAAAGTCCGATGGCATTTGGTAAATTTTTAAATTACTCAGTGGCATTTGGTGAAATAGTCGTTTGGAATATCTTCAAAAAAAAAAAAAAAAAAAACTTTTTTGGCTGGGCTGGGTCGGGTCATGGGTTGTATACGCCCAACCCAACCCATTAATGGGCTCAAAAATAGTGAAATATTATTTTTAAAAAAAAGGGAAATCTATAACCCTTAATAAAAATGGGAAGTTAGTAACAGTAACTTTTGGAGTTATTACACAAACACCCCCAAAATTAATGGAATTCCGAAATTGCCCTTTATTCTAATTGGTTGATGCTTCATGCTTGACAGCTTGAGCGCTTTTTCACTGACTTCCCTTGCCTACTCCCTTAGCTCTCTTTCTTCTCATCTCAAAAAAAAGCTCAGAGTATTTATGGAAACAAGGAGAGAGAAAGCTAGAGAGAGAAAATATGTCTTCCTTCAACAACAATGGAGATGAGCTCAAAACCACCTATCATCCTTTCGACGATGGTTATGGGAGCTTGTAGAAGATGATATTTCATGTCGTTTTCTTCAATCTTCAGGTATAATTCTACTCCTTTCTTAATATTAAACTACCAACTAAAATAACAAAAACCCCATTTGTAATTCAATTTTTTTTAAAAAATATCCAGAATCATTTCTGGTGGAATTCGGTTTAATAGGATGTCGTGATTTGGGAATTGAGCTATGGGAATTAAGTTATGCAAATTAAGCTAATGGAATTATGTGAAAATTGATGCATGACAAGCTGAATTAATGTGGTATGATCTAATGACTTCTTCTTTGTTACCAAGATTCGTGGTGGAGGTGGTATTCCGAATCTCTCTCACACTCACTCTCTAAACTTACCATTAGAGCAGTTTTTGAGTTTAGTTTTTTTCTTTGAATTAGCTGATCAATTACCACTCCTCTCTTGTGAATTCGATTCCTCCAGTTTCGGCCCGCCGTCTCCGAGGTTCCCGTTCAGTCTGAGATTGTGTTTCAATTTCCTCCATTAAAGCAGCTTCTTGAGGTAATATCTCTATCCTTTTTATAATCATCTAATATCAATTTTGACAATCTTTTAATAGTAATCCTTTTTTTTGCTACGTTTCTTCATTAAGCTTCTTAATTAATTTTCTCAAATTCGATTAATAACTCGAACTATTTTTAAATGAATGAGTGGTGATGAAACCTATGAAAGGGAAAAAGAGGAGAGAAACTGTGATGAACGGCGCCGGAAATAATAGCCATCAATTTGATGAAACTCAGAAATTTGTAAGGTATTTTCTCTCCTTCAATTTGATGTGGTTGAATAGAAATATGTAAAAATTGCTCATTTCTGGAAAATTAGGCTGTAATTTTTTTCTAGGGCATTTGCTCAGATTCTGTAATTTAGATGTTTGTTTTTTAATCATCAAAAATCATTTCTCGATCTAGCATTTCATTGTTAATCGAATTAGGTTGTTATTGTACTTGGATTTGAAAATAATTATCAAGTTTCTTTGGAATTTTGAACAAATTAGGGTGTATTTTTATTTTTTTACTCGACTTTATACCGCCCTCCAATTTCAAGCAATTGCAAAAAATAAAAAATTCTGGAAGTCTGTGTACACGACAGTGGAACAACAACCATACCAATTCCAGTTACTCGGAATTGCCGGTGATGTCCCTTGCTCACCAACCTCGTACTCTTTCATCAACACCCTGAGCTTGAAGTTGTTGCTTAAGATATTCGCAGGTTAGTGAATATTTCAATCAATACCATAAGAAAATCTCTTTTATCAACACCAACCTCGTACTCTTTCATCTCACTCCTACTGCATCTGTTAGTGAATCTAGAGTCTTCTTGATGATGAAGGGAGCGTACTTTTTGAGTTGTTTTGTTTTTTGGTGTTGAGTTATGAAATTATGAGTGATTTTGGAGGTGGATTTTGTGTGTTTGTTTATCACAATCAATAATAATCAATTTGCGGAATTTGTTATTGTATTGTTCAATTTCAGATTACTATTAATTAGTTGCTCTTGTAATTTTGGATTGGTTCAAATTTTGTGATGAGAGTCTATTTGTTGAAATCAATTACTGAAGAATATATCGGCTTATTTGACTGATTTTTTTTTTCTGTTTTGGTTTATTGTTTGTTGTTTCCTTCTTCTCACTGTTAGAGTGTCAGGGCTGCTGGAGCAAATGCGGAGGTTTGTTTATGCGGATTGTATCTATATTCTTTATGGAAAAGAAAATGAATCACTGTTGTTTATGAACGGTAACATGAGAAGTAGCGTACTACAGCTTATACGAGGAAAGAGCCTTTGATAATATCGTCATATCACCTGGCCCTGGTTCTGCAATTTGTGCTGCTAATATAGGTGAGAGTCGTGAGACTCTTCTGCTCAACATGCTTTCAATAGAAGTTATGAAAGTCACTTCAATTTTTTACTTATTCATATGTTTGAACTGTGCTTGTTTCCAAGATTTATTGAGCTGATTTATAAAATTTAGTAATGATATGTTTGTCCAAAATTGATTAATGTTGCAATCTTATATAGTTATTGCTTAACCCTGATGTTATTGCTTAATCCTTAGTGTCTGCTAGAACTAAGATCTTATACAACACATCTGATATGCTCCTCTCCTTTTGAATTCAATCAAGATGAAACCCACTCAAAAAAAGTTGGTGACCTGCAGCTACTGTTGTAATGTAGTTGAGAATTGACTTTGAAATAAACTTCTCTTACTTAGCTGATGACTTTATGAGAAGTATATTCTATTAAGCTTTTGATTGCTCTCTTCTCTTATTTTATATCGTTTTCTCTACCTGTTGACGGCTCTGAATATCCTCATCTTGTTGATTTCATGTCTATCTTTATTTCGTTATTTTACAACAGCTTTGGTGAATAAGTTTCATATGCATTTGTATTTCATCATTTGAAAACGGCTTTGGTGACTGGTTTGCCTTAATGAAAAGCAAAGAAAGAGAGATAATCAGGATATTTGGATTTGCAAGCAAGTTGTTTCAGCAGAAAAAGCTATAATGGTTTAATTTATGACACTATTATCCTGTTTTATGTTTTTGAATTCCTTGAACCTAGGAACCATGTAGATTTTGTGAAAATACTCTATATTTTTATTTTCAATAAACATAAAACCTTCTTTTCCAATTACCGGTGGTGGTGTGGTGTGGTTTATTTATTTATATCATATCTTATCATCAACGACCATGGGTTATCTTTTTCATTTACTAGTCTACACAATCAAGAAAAATTGTCTTAATTGAGAAGTTGAGGTTTATGGATTATATTATTGCGCTTGTCTATTATTTATTATATTGGTAAGTATATCCTTTATAACTGCAGTCATTTGATGTAGTCTTCAATTAGGGATGGAATCTCACAGTCATACGAACTCACCCTTGCAGGGCCATAACAATGTCAAGGATGGTGATTCTTCATCTCAGACTGGAAGCTGTATATTGAAGTCTACAAGGAGTGCTTTCAACTTTTGGTTTGACCAAAATGCATGTTTCTACAAGTAGACAAATTGTATAAAAATGTTAATAGAAAATTAGAAACCATTCTTATGAGGGCAAAATGGTTTGACCAAAGTGCATGTATCTATAAGAAATTTTCATAGAAATCATGTATACTTGTACAATATAGGTTTACTGACCATATAACTTCAATTTCTTTATTTGTTCGTTGTTTTGTTGGAATGTTGGATGAATCTCAACGTGTATAATACGAGAATATTATGTTGCAAAATGAGATGATCAAAAGTCATTGTACTGCTCTCAGTTTCTTATTGATGTAGAGTTTTTACAAGTTATTTCGGTAATTGTTCACTTTTCCTTGGGCAATCATATACTGATCGGGGATTTGATGAAAACATATACGGGGCGTTTGGATTGTGGGAATGAGAGTTTGGGGATTGAAAGGTGGGAATGGGATTTGGGAATTTATTGATGGGAATACATAAAAATATGCTAATACCTTGTTTGGATAGTGGATGGGAATATATAAGACATAAATAACAATTTTTTTAAAAAATACCCTTATTAAGATTGTTATTTAATTCTTTTCATTAATGGCAAAAATCTCATTTTTCTTGCTATACCCATTCCCATTCCCATTCATTTATTGCCTACCCTCACTAGTAAACCTGGGCACGGGCCGGGTTGGCCCGCGTGCCGCCCGGCACGGCCCGCCGTTCGGCGCAGCCCGGCACGGCCCGAATTCAAGCACGGCACGGCACGAAGTTCAACTCCCGTGCCACGGACAGGGTTGAGAATTCCCAGGCACGGCCCGGCACGAGCACGGCCATGGCCTGCCGTGCTGGCCCGTCGTGCCGGCCCGCGGGCCTACGGTAATGTTACCGTTTATTCTAGCTCCTTAATAAGCCAAAAAAACGGCTAAAAAACGCCTAGTTTTTTGCCAATTTGCTCCCCAAAAATTCTATAAATACTCACCTCCATTTCATTCCCAAATCACAAAATCACAATCTCTTCTTCTTATCTCTTATATTCTCTAAATCTCTAATAATCCTTATTTTCTTAAATTCTCTAATTATTCTCTTAAATTCTCTAATTATTTTCCTAAAATCGGAAAAAATTAAAAAGTTCGTAATCGTAATTAGTGGAGCGTTGAAGCACGGTTGTAAGATCTAAACTAATCTTAAATTTATTATTGTTTTATTGTTATTATTAGAATAATCTTGTTTAATTATTATTGTTGTTAATTGTTATTGTTGTTGTTATAATTGTTGTTATTAATTATTATTATTGTTACAATTGTTGTTATTATTTATTTTTGTTGTTATTGTTATTGTTATAGTTGTTGTTATTAATTATTATTATTGATATTTTTATTGTTAAAAATTGTTGTTATTAATTATTATTATTATAGTTAACCACTTTTTATTAAAAAATTAATTGTTAATTATGGCATCGAACAACCCATCATCTAGGTTTAGGGGGAAAGGCCGACTTATCCGTAGTAGTAGTTCTAGGGAACCACCAAATACAACGAGCCCCCAAATTACGTGTCAAACCAATGACCCCATTTACTTCCCCCCGGGCTATGAGCCATATAATACGTCGGGATTTCCAGCACCACCACTAAACCAATTTCCACTACCACCATACCAATTTCCACCTAATTATATTGGTGATCAACAAAACTATTGTTCTAGCCAAGGTAGCCAAGAAAGTACCCGAATTCCCTCCAGTTCTACCCCTTCTACTGCCACTCCCACTAGTCCCACTACTAACCATCATACACATCATGAATGGTTAACCGAAACTGAGATGCTACTTTTGAAAAACCGAAGGAGTGAGGTATGGCGTTATTTTGTCCTAAGTAAAGATGGTGAACAATGGGCAAAATGTAAAACATGTAATAGTGTATTCACGGCAGTTACCAAAAACGGGACGGGACACTTATCTAGACACATGAAAGCTTGTGCAAAACCAGCTAGTGATCCAACCCAGCCCAAAATTTCCCAATTCCATCCATACGGCTTTACATACAACTATGAGAGGGATAGGGATGAACTAGGAAAAATGATAGTACACGCCGAACAACCTTTTCTTTTCTCAGAAAGTGACGCATTCAACACCTACATTAACAAAGCACTACAACCCCGACATAAAAGAATCTCTAGGAAAACCGTTCGTTCCGCCGCAATGAAAAATTTCCTAGAGTACAAAGTCCGGTTACAAGCCGAATTGAGTAACCTTAACTGTAGAGTATCTTTAACAGCCGATTCTTGGGATAGTGGTTATAAATATCACTATTTATGTGTGACTTGCCATTGGGTAGATGATCAATGGATGTTACAAAAAAGAATAATACATTTCAAAATGCTGGAATACCCACACACCGGCATTAACATTGCTCATCATTTAATGCAAGCAATAGACGAATACAACCTTCGAGATAAAATGATGTCTATGACTTTTGATAATGCAACCTCTATGACATACACAGCTAATCTTATCAAACAAAACTTAACCGATGTACTATTAGACGGTGAAGCTCTTCATACTAGATGTGTTTGCCATGTACTTAACTTATGTGTACAGGATGGAGTTCGGGCAATTGGCCCATACTACAGCAAAATCAGAGATGCTATTATGTCTATTAATAGCTCTAACATGAGATACCAAGAATGGAAGAATTTTCTAAAACAACAAAAGATAAGGGTAATAAAAATTAGAACCGATTGCCCAACTAGGTGGAATTCCACCTATGACATGTTAACAAAGGCAATTGAGTACAAGGGCCCGTTAACATTATTTTACAACCAAAAATTTCCACAAAATGCTTTGTATGATGATGATTGGAATAACTGTGAAAGATATATGCAATTTTTACAGTTATTATATAACATGACGTATTGTTTTTCTACTGTTTACAATCCTTGTGCTCAAAACTTTCTTTCTAATGCATGCTTACTCGCCCAACTTTTCGCTGATCATCGCCATCAAAGTGATTATGATCAGTATCTTCCAGCAATGGAAAAAAAGTGGCGTAAATATTATAGTGAGATTCCTTTGATTTATATTTTTGCTTCCATATTAGATCCTAGGCAAAAGTATGAAAACACATTTATGTTAGTTGACATTTACTTTCAATGCATGTTTCTTGACGATGATGTAGAAAACTATAAGACTAATGTGAAGGATCAGTTTTTTGCTTTATATAGAGTCTATGAAGCCAAATATGGCACCGTTCCTCGCTCAGGGCCTTCCCAACCATCCAAAAACGTAAGTAAGAAGGCCAAACATTTATTTTCACAAGCTACTAACTTGATTTCAAGGTTTTCAGGTGATTCATCAATCAGGAGAACGCAAAGCGACGTCTCGGAGTTGCAGATGTACCTGAGTTACGACTTCACCAAAGGCATGGACGACGATGAGATAAACAGCCTCGACCTCCTTGCATGGTGGAAACAACAAAGCTCGAAGCATCCAACTTTGGCGGCAATGGCACGAGACATTCTTGCTATCCAAGTTTCCTCCGTCGCCTCCGAACGAGCTTTCAGCGCATCCGGAAGGGTTTTAGACGATAGAAGAACAAGTCTAAAACCCGAAACACTAGAAATGTGCGTGTGTTTCAAAGATTGGTTGGATGCGGAAAATCGCTCACAAGACCGTTCTTACGACCACAACGACAACGAAGAAGGAACCTCCGCTTCCGGTTCGGGTTCGGCTAGTTCCCAATATATGCAACTAGCCGATGACCTTGAAGGCGAAGGCGAAGACGAAGACAAAGACGAAGACGAGCAAGAAGAAGGAGAAGAAGAATAGACAATTATTGTATATTGTACGATTTTAAAAATATCAATTTTATCATTTTCCAATTTTTGTTTAATACCATCATTGTATGATTTTTATCATTGTTATCATTGTACAATTTTCTCAACTCAAGTAATAATAATATAAAGTACGCATTATTCACATCCAAAGTCCAATTTGCCTTTTTTCCCCGTTTTGTTACAATTTGTAAATTCATATTAATAAAAAATTAAATTATACCAATTACTAATAAATCATAAACATTAAATTTTAAAGTAATAGTATAAAGTAAATATATAAATATAAATATTGAATATACAAATTATAAAACATAAATATTCAACTTATAATTATAAAATTCATAACTTAATAACTTATAACTTATAAGTTATAAACTTATAAGTTATAACCTTATAAAACTTATAATTATATTTTTATAACTTATATACATTATAAACTTATTAATTTATAATGTTGTCATATAAAAAAAAAAAATAAAAAAATTTGAAAACTGCACCAGCCCGCAGGCCGGCACGTGGCCGGCACGGCACGAGCCCGCCAGGCACGAGGGTCGTGCCGTGCCGTGGGCTGGCCTGTTAAAATGGCCGGCACGGCACGACACGAAATCATGGGCCCGCCGGCACGACCGGCACGGCACGAACCAGCCCGTGGCCCGCCAGGCACGGCCCGCGGCGGCACGGCCCGACACGGTGCCCAGGTTTACTCACTAGGTAATAAAAGGGGAATTCACCTGTAAATAACCCATTCACAAACCCCTTTTTATTCCGATTCCCACCAATCAAACAAGGCTTATTTTTTATATTGGGATTAAAACTCCCAATCCCACCCTCAATTCCCACTTACCAAACACCCCCATAGTGAAAGTAAAGAAAGTTAAAGAAGACATGTAGTTGTAAAATTGTTACTCTCTTTTTCTCAATCAAAATTTAGGGTAAGAGTCAAGGACATCTAAAAACCCATTGAGAATGTAGGACTGTAGATAAGAGGGTGAAAGTGAGAAACACTTAAGAAAACCTATTGAGAGAGAGAGATACCTATAAGTTATGAAGTCATTACAAAGGAGCAAAAAGCATAGGAAGATAAAGAATTTTGGGAATTAAAGGAACGAAAGACAAATAATACTTTTTAGAGTGTAATTGAGTAAGAAGTAACCATTGAGAATGTAGGACTGAAGATAAGAGGGTGAAGGTGAGAAACACTTAAGAAAACCTATTGAGAGAGAGAGAGAGCGAGAGAGATACACCTATAAGTTATGAAGTCTGTACAAAGGAGCAAAAAGAATAGGAAGATAGAGAGTTTTGGGAATTAAAGGAACGAAAGACAAATAATACTTTTTAGAGTATAATTGGGTAAGAAGTAACCATTGAGAATGTAGGACTGTAGATAAGAGGGTGAAAGTGAGAAACACTCAAGAAAACCTATTGAGAGAGAGAGAG